CATTCATATTAAATTATTATTTTAACGTAGATTTATATCAATAGACATTATAAGGTTTGATTTGATTTTCACTTCAGAACATTTTAAATGAAAATATTTTTATTTTCATAACATAAAACAAATTTCTAGATATTATTTTTGAAATCTTTTTCAAAGATAAACAAATTCACTCAGATGAAATTAATTAAATTTTATTTTCAAATATAAAAACAAATTTTCTTAAATAAATTTTAAATTAAATTTAAACTACAATTAAATCAATTCAAATCATTTTTATTTTAGAACATTTTAAAATAACATTTTTTATTCGCATTTATTCATCCCTTTCACTCAAATATAAACAAAATCTTTTCTGTTTTAGGACAATCAATTCTTGTCAGTCATATTAATAACAACACCAAATGGAAACAACATGGAATTACTATAGCTGGAGGAAATGGACAAGGCGATCAATTAAATCAACTTTACCGTCCATCTGGTATCTATGTTGATGATGATCATCAAACTATTTATATTGCTGATTGTTGGAATCATCGTATTGTTGAATGGAAATATGGAGCAAAGAATGGTCAAGTTGTTGCAGGTGGAAATAGAAAAGGAAATCGAAGTGATCAATTGAATGGTCCAACAGATTTGATTGTTGATAAAAAGAATGATTCTCTCATCATTTGTGATTATAGAAACAGACGAGTGGTACGATGGTCTCGTCAAAATGGTAGAAATGGAGAAACAATCATTTCTGACATTGATTGCCGAGGTCTATCAATGGATAAAAATGGAAATCTTTATATCTCTGATTGTAAGAGAAATGAAGTGAGACGTTGGAAACAAGGTGATGAAAAAGGTGAATTAGTTGCCGGTGGAAATGGTCAAGGATATTATCTTAATCAACTCAATAAACCTACTTATATCTTTATTGATGAAGATTATTCTCTTTATATATCAGATGAACAGAATCATCGTGTAATGAAATGGGAAAAAGATGCAAGAAAAGGAATTATTGTGGCTGGTGGAAATGGTCAAGGAAATAGTCTCAAACAATTGCGGTATCCTCGAGGAGTGATTGTTGATGATTTGGGTCAAATCTATGTGGCAGATTGTCTTAATAATCGAATAATGCGTTGGTGTGAAGGAGATAAAGAAGGTGAAATTGTTGCTGGTGGAAATGGTCAAGGAAAGCAACCAGATCAGTTGAGTTATCCCAGAGGTTTATCATTCGATGTAGAAGGTAATCTCTATGTTGTCGATTGTTTAAATAATCGAGTACAAAAATTTGATGTTGATTCAAAATCCACTTTATACGAAGATCGTGGTAAACTCACATTACATATGAGTGATTATGATATGAATATACAAGGGATTAAAAAATCATTCTTATTCAAAGAACAAAATCAATTAACTACCAATTTCAATATTGGTGAAGCAAACAAGTCGACTGGTAAGTTCATTGAGAGATAATCTATGAGTTTTGGAAGAGTGATCTATATAAAAATAAATATTTTAGAGACAAACAAATCTTTAGAAACTCGTTAGGAGATACGACTCATCCTATAAAAAAAACTTGTTTTTTGTTAATCATTCAGTCATTTTAGATGATAGAAAATTGTTTCCAATCAAAATCAAACCGATATGATAAGTATTGGTTGATATCGACTCTATCCTCCTATCATTCGATTGTTACACACTTTTTATGATAACATTAGTATTGATTTCTTCGTTTATCTTTCTAAATCATGACATTAATATATTCAAAGTCAAAGGTCTTTCTACTAAACAGTAAAACATACATAAAAATGAGAATACTTTTTATTCTTCTATTTAATCCTGCAATAATTAATAAGCATAATGATTCTTCTCATGAATGTTTTTAAAAGGGTGTAGGTATGGGCGTAGATGTGAGAGACAATTGTAATACCTACAACCATATCTATCCACACCCACACCCTCAAGATTCTTGATTTGTATACGATTGCCGATTGTAATGACGTGAAACTAATTAGCATTTCGTTTGATAATAAAAATATAAAAAACTGTTTGATTAAATGATTTCCTAATTCTTAGAAAATGTGAGATTCACATTTTAGCCATAACGAAGCTGCGTGTATAAGCTTTCTAACATTAGTTCATTTACCCTCAATGTCCGTTTTCACATAATGCACACCACAAGCGTCTATTTACTTGTGTTCTCTAGCTATTCAATTTCATTTCTAATTTATTTAGATTCTTGGGCTAATGTTCAATTTGTTCTTGTCAATTTATCGATGCATCTCAGTAAATTAGCATTCGCCATGCTGGATGTTCTTCGTTCGTTAGCAAATAACTCTATACTCATGTTCGTCAATTCAGATGTTGATTTTGATACATTATCGAACAAGACAATTCTACTTTTTACCACGAACCAGTTTGTTTCTTCAATGGCAACAAAACCTAAACAGCTTAAAAAAACATTTATACTAGAAGAGAAAAAAAGTAACGCAGACCAATACGAACGATTTACCGATAGTGAAGATCTTATGTTTCAATTGGCAGATGAAATATGTCGTTACTACAAATGGAAAGCGGATGATTATCCAAGATCAGATTATTCCTTATTGATCGATGAAAAAGTAAAACTAGCAAATCAAATTCATAGCGAGCTGAAAAAAGTCTATGAAAAGTTCTCTACAAATGATACTGACAATAAGCCACCAATTTGTGCAACAACATCACTCGTTTGGTTAACATCAAGCTCTTACAATGATAATGACAATGACATTTCAAAAATTCAGAATCTATTTGCAGATGTTATTTCATCTTTTTCAACTTGTGAAAATGAGCAGGAATGCTATCATGGTGTACAATCACCTGAATGTAATTATACGATATTTCTTATTATTGATAGTAGTTACGGAAGTTCAGTTTTAACTGAGTTTGAAAAACTTCCCAATATCAAGCAAGTGTATTGTTATGATCAATCAGGTTCCACAAAAAATGGGATCAAAAACAGTTTCAGTAAACTTCGTTCTCGATTAACACATGATCTAATTGCTCATTACAATAAATTGGGTAACGACTATAATGACAAAAGGCATCCAAAAGATGCAAAAGAAATGTTTCTAAAAGTGAAGAAATTGTGTGAACTTTTATTAAAATTTTGAACAAATAAAAGTCCACTTTTTTTTTTCAAATGATGATATTTCTTTCTTTTCTCATTTCGTTCTAGATGCAAACAATAGCCGATATCGTTTTCGATAATATCTCATATTCTCAAGCTGATCATTGGATGCTTATACTTTACCAAATGAATGGACCATCTATAGCCATTGCCTTACATAACGCACATGTAATGGCATTCATTCAGCCTTACAATAATATACCCGATTGTCAACATCATATAAATATACATAATGCTAAAAGATTTACGCTATTCTCTTACAGCGGCAATATAATAACATGGCTTTGGAATAATAATGTTATACCCGACCATTTAGATCATATTATTATCTTTTGTCCATCTTTTGATGATAAAGAATATATACAAGCATGGACACAACGCTATACACAAAAAATTAAGAAGATTATTACCCATGATGTACTCGAGCGTGAATTATTAATAGTTGGACTGGGATATATCGAAAAACTACGTTCAGACTTGGAAGAGCGTGAAGAGTGTGAAAGTATATTGAACTTATTGAAAGAAGACCATAGCAGAATATGCGAAGCTTTACTGGGTTGTATGACAAATCAAATTAGCCAACAAGATGAATATATTCGGTTAAGTGAAGAAGCTTCTTAATCGCTGAATTTTTTTATATTGAATTTTCGATTCAATAAAAGATAGAAATAAAATACATGTGGCATTGCCTTAATATAAATTTCATTTACTCATAAGTCATGAATGGGTAACAGGGAAGATATATTGTCTGTTTCTCAGCTTGAAATAGGTGTGGGTAAAAGTAGTATGGTGGGTGTGGGTGTGCATGAGAATGTGGGTCTCTGCTAGTGTAGGTAAGACAAACGATACTCACCTCTACCCACACCTACACACCCACACCCACCCACACCTACACACCCACACCCACACACCTACACACCCACACCCACACACCCACACCCACCCACACCTACACACCCTCAAAATATGGTCGATTTCACTTATTACAATGAATAATTTTATAAATAAAAATAATTTAAAAGCATGATTTTTGACAGATCGATAGTTTAGATCAAGACAATTAGGTCATCCAAATATTAAAGAATTTGTTGAAAACTTGTTAAAACTTGAGTTTCTGCCGAACTTCTTATGTTCTCATCGTTGAAAATAATAAAACTATTCGATAAGAAATCAAAGTATGGACCAATAGAATATATATCTTAAAACATGATGATTTATGTAAATTGTGGTTGACTTTGAATAATATAAAATATTGTAAGAAATGTGAAGTTGATCTAATAATGAATTTGAAAATAAACTTTTTCATTTATTCTTTTTGATAAAAAGAATAATAAAACATTCTAACACGTTAATGTTAAATAATATTATATCTACTGTTTTTTGTTATTAAATAAATATCTATTTACAATTTCATTTCATTTATTAATGTCACAAGATAGTATGTTAGAAAATAATATATCACTACGATTTGAATTATCAGCATATGGGCGTTTATAACATGTTGAAGAACAACAACAACAAAATTTACCATTAACATCATTGACGCCATTATCGTATTAAAATGATCAATTTCTTGATCGAATTCCTAGTGATTTAGTAACTAAGAAAATGATTGTTATTATTATTATACATCCAACATCTTTCGATTCGGTTGATTTAGAGCTTGATTCAGTTATATTAATCAACGAAAAATATAGTGGTAGTGAACAATCATTTCAAAAATGGATAATACCTCGTCAAGTAGATCAAAAACCTGAAATTATGTATCGATTTTCATCAATGTTTTCTTTACGATCAAGACAAACAATTTGTATTTTATCAAAACGTAATCCAAAATGCAGCAAAACCAATAGGTGACACTTTAATCGCTGATAGTAACGAAGAAACAGCAGTTATAACAGAAATATTTCAATAGATAGTTAATTAACTAAAATTTAAATGGTAAATGAACTTTGCCGTTTTTTTTTAAACGTGAATTATTGTCATGACAGGTTAAAGATTATACGAAAAAAAATGTATATTGCGTTGTAGATATAAAAGAACAAAGTACACTTAAAACATATGCCGATTTTCTCACCAATACATCTCTATATATAACGATCGAACGAAAAATAAAAGTACATATTTTACAATGAATACCATTTCTACACTCACTACTCTTCTATTTTTACTTCTGGTAGTTAGTTCAATTGAAGCTAAAACCAAACAACAACGTCGTAATACCAATGAACGTCCAGGTAAATCGATATTCGTATACATAAAAGATGATTTCTATCGATTTTTATATAGGTGCATGTCCATCAACAAATTTACCTCATCATATTCATTGTCGCCGTCGTGTGTGCCTTGAAAGCGAGTTAAAGTCAGGTTGTCAAAGTGACGATGCTTGTCCAGGAGCAAAAAAATGTTGTCGTCCTATGTGTTCATGCAAAAAGGATTGTATTGAGGCTGTTTAACGGACAGAATTAGTAATAAGGTTTTTTTGTTAGCTTTTATGACTGAAATAAATATATCAATACAGATTATATAAACACAAGTGGCGTACGATTCTATTACTAATTTTTATTTAGACACAATGTCATATATATATAAAACTTGTGTCATATAAGTAACTTTACATACTCGATTGGATAAGACTGAATATCAGTATACTTGAATCACATATCAAGAAAAAAGAAGGGAAAAACCTAATATATGTGATAGACAGGAACGAAAAAATCCAAGTATATGTGATGTGTATAAAAAGAAACGCACACAAGAGAACGAACGGAAAATAACGACTGGCTCGTCATCTGTGTTTAGTTATCAAATCTATGTTTTTTACCAATAAATTCAATAAATTTACATAATAATTAGAAATTGAACATATAGTATGTATACTGAAATAATTCTTGATACATTTGATTTATTCATCTTGTTTAATTAACAAACGATTCAATAATATATATTATTAAAATATAATTTATATAATTATTTTCGTAGCTTTTGGAATCAACTCTATTTTTGGTGATTGTAATTTTAACTTTCATGCTTTATACTAACTCTGAAATGCATCTATAGTTTGATGAAGTCTTGATAGCGTATTTCATGATGTTCATAGAGTTGTGTCGTACGTCAATCAGACAACAAAAGAGTAACAATTGCTAATTGTTATTTTTTTTATACATATCGAAGCAAATGTGTTCTTATCAAACACATAGAACTCCAGTCCAAAGTAGCAATTAAATACTGAATTGTATCGTTTTCATGCAAAGTATATACTTATAAACTCGCTCACCCGAGAGAATAAAAGAACAAGATAAAAAGGAACAAACATCGTTACACTCTCATTAAATTTATTAAAAATATCTGTCCTTTGTTCGTAAAATTTGTGGTTATTTTTATTACAGGTTATTCCGACGTGACTAAATCAAACAATTATATCCGACTCATTATTATTATACTCTTTCATTTAAAAGTTTTATCTCGAACAAAAAAAACATTTTTCAGATATATCAAAGTAATTCTCAAAGAAACATGTCTTCGTCAGACGGTTTTTTCACATTGTTACAGTCAGTACAGACCAATTTATTTCGAATCGGTGGTCCAATATTATTGGTATTTGGTGTTGTCAGTTGTATTATCAATCTGACTGTTTTCAGTCAGAAGAATCAACGTAAAAGTCCATGTTCCATCTACTTGATAGCAGTGAATATCGCTAATTTCTTATATATTATTTTAGCACTATTATTCCTTATATTAACAGTTGGCTATGGCACAGATCTTACTATATATAATCTCTTCATGTGTCGTTTCTATTATTATAGATCGTATTTATTCGATATTCTCAGTCCATTTTATCTTATTTTAGCTTCAATCGATCGAGTTTTAGTCACATCATCAAATGCTCGAACACGACAAAAAAGTACTCTTCGTTTCGCTTATATTTCTATCGGTAGTGGAACATTATTTTGGATTTCGTTTCATTGTCATGCATTATTCTTAGTAGATATTCAAGAAATAGCACCTGGTTATTTTATGTGTTACGCTCGAGCAGGTCTTTATACCCTTCTCTTGAGTTATTATTCATTGTTCGTCAAAGCAATTATAGTGCCTCTGTTAATGATTATTTTTGGCATATGGACTGCAAAAAACATTCGAAAACTGCATCAACGACGCATTGCTCCTGTAATGGCGAATACTGTAAATATACCACGGCACTCTGAACATCCCTTTCATGCGAAAGATCGACAATTTGTTCTCATGGTAGTTGCGGATATTTGTATTTACATCGCATGTAATGCAATGCTGTTTGTTGTCGTTATATATTATCAGATCGTACAGAATGTCGGCTTAACACAGATCAACAACTTTTTGAATTTGGTAGCATATTTTATTAGTGATATTTCATTTTGTATTGGTTGTTATGCATATTTAGTTATATCGAAAACATTTCGAAAAGAAGTCAAACGTTTATTTTTTTTGTTAATAAATTAGATGTTTTATTTTTCTGTTGTTAAAAATGATATGAAATGAATAAATTGATTGTATTATTCATCTTTTGTATAGAACAGAGTCAAAGAAAATAATGTCTAAAGACTTGCATAATTACTCTTATGCATTAATTATACGACAGATTGTTTTAGTTTTTAAACATATTTAATCAATTAACTAGAAATAAAGAATTAAGGATAAAGTCTTGTAAACAAATTATTTTGACACGTTCAAAAAGAAAAAAAACAGCAATTATTTGTTTAACATTGAAAATTATCTATTTCGAATACCATATTTTTAAATAGACTTAATAAAATTTAGTTTCATTCTCATACAAATAATTTTTATAAAGATAAGAATAAAAAGATTTTCGTTTTACAACAAATATTTTGTTGGTTGTTTTTATAGTTTTCAGTCTGATTATTGATAAACATTATACGACAAGTCACGAAATAGACAATTGTTTGACTGTACAAACTATTCTATTCGTAATTGATTTCATCAAAAAAAATCTTTATGATGGTTTTATTTTATACAAAAATAAAAGTATTTATATGTGAATTCTATTGAAAATGAATTTCATTGGATAAATTCTAATTTTTCTTTCGATCATATAATTACTCGCCATTTCTTCGTCATCTTAATCGTTTTACTTTACTTTCACTATATACAATCGTTTTCAAACACGTACAAGGCTGAAATATATTAGAAAAAAGGAGTAAAAACAAATAAAAGGAAACATAAAGTTTTGTCACCTTGCAAAAGTAACAAATCAAGCACTTGCCGAAGAAACTAAATAGTGTTATACACATATCAGTAAGTATATATTATTGAAGTTTGTTTCATTTCTTTGGTTTTGATTATTTAACTGTCCGTTAAGAATTTAAATGATTAATTTTTTTTGTATCCATTTTACACTTGTCTAGTATTTTATTAATATTAATTCTCTGATATTTTCTATGATTAGTTTGCTTTTTTTCATCTAATTTTATTTATTATGATCAACTATTTCGCAGAAGCGAATTAAATTATCAATATAATGTTATTTAGAACTTGATAAGAACAGATATAAAAATCATCAAAAATTTTGACTGATTTTATCTTGGACAGTAATAAATAAATAAAAAACAGTAAAAGCAAAGAAAAATGAAAACTAACAAATTTTGATACTCTGAAGATATTTTATATTTTCTCGGCTGTTGCATAGATAAGTCTATTCATCATCATACACTAAACAACAACCATAGACAGAGGTCATATATTGACATGAACAGACTATAGAATGGTATATTTCTTCCGATCATTCGATACAAAATCAGCGGGCTGTGGGTGTAAGTGTGAATCTGAGCGTTCTAATCATGGTACAGCCATACCCACACCCATTTCAGGGTTGACTATTTCATATTCGTAACTCTTTCCCTTCGAAATACACAATGCGTTTGCCACTTTCCTTTTTTTTTATAGTTGTGCTGCTGTTAATGTGGATAAAGTGATTGAAAACTGGTTTAGTACGCTGTATTGATAAAATCTATTAGCACTACATCACATAATGACAACCACTACTTTTACAACTTTTCATGTGTCCCGAAAATATATTATGTGATTTCTATCTGGAAATTAAAAATGGTCAATATACAACGGCAAATCGTATTCACATGGATGAATATGGTCAATATTGTGACGCGTTTATTCGTCTTGTGCAAGAATGGATACCAAATGCATGATATTGGCCACTGTACGATTTACTTGCATGTGGGCCGACGTGGTGGACTTTCTATAGAAGAAAACATGAATTTGAAAAAATTTATATCGGGTTTTGATAGATGGGAGCCTGGTAAGCGCTCAGAATGTCGGGTAAGCACATATACAGGAAAAGATGGGGATCTTGTCAATGAACTGAATAAAAATGGCTTTAGTTACGTTTTGTACCTCACAGGAGGCCCATATAAATGTTTGAGTGATGTTGTACGTGACAAATTGAAACATCCAAGACACGTAAGAATGGGGTCGCCGCTAAACTACGATCATAAATGCTTGCAGTTATACTGTACACAGACACTGCTGTTTATGCCGATTTACGCTTGGATGAAATACTTTTTTGTCAACAAAATCCTTTTGAGCCCGAAGACAACTGGCATTAGCAAAAGTGGCCGATATTTGGTGCAAGACTGGACTCAGCTATTCGACTATTGGACAGATAGGATGAAAGACAAAACCGTCCGCCGTTAGTTTACCACGGTTTAAGAGATACTGAAATTGATAAAGACGTATTTAACAATCATGGTAGTCAAAAACGTGACAATTACTTCAAATATGGTACATTTGTCAGTACATCATGGGATAAAGAAGTATCACTTGTTTTTATGTGTGAAAAAGGCTGTTTATTAGAGATTGATACGAGTGAACCACCAGATGGATGTCAACGATTGGTTGGTGCTGATGTATCTTGGATATCTAAATTCCCTGTTGAGTGTGAATTTCTAATTCCAAGGAAGCCAACATTTGAAATAATGGAGATAGGATTTGATATTGAACGAAATTGTCAATTAGTGAGAGTTCAGAATGGAAACAATTTGTATTCTAATAGTGATTAAAAAGTTCAAAAAGAAATATTGATTAATATACTATTACAGTACCGTAGCAACAAAATATATTTCTCTGCGAGCCGTTGTATATAAGCAAGAGAGAACAAGTTGATTTGGGTTTGAGTGTAAATATAGAGCCAATAAGTTACTCACACCCCACCCATCCAAAAGTTTGACTAATAGCTTCATGTAAAGGTGTGTTACCCATTCCATCTATTACATTTGGATCAGCACCAGCATTACTCAATGCATAGATCATTCGAAAATCAATACTACAAAGCACAAAAAAAGAACGATAGATTAATTTATATGAAATAAATCAATGTATACTTGTCTTGACTGTGACTATTTCGACAAATAACATGATAATAAGAACCTTCAATTGGATGAGTAAAATCGACTAAATCAGGTTGTTCATGAAGTAATGAATTGAGTTCTTGTAAAGTTGTATCCGAATAATTTGATTGATTAGAAAGTATTTTGTGTAGACAATTTTTATAAAATCGATCAGTTTTTGGAGTGGATGTGGAGATAATATCCTTTATTTATATAACAGTTTCCTTTCCAGCATTATATGGAAGAAAACGTGATCGAGCAATACTATCAAATTTAATAATACAACTTGATGATTGTTTTTTTCATAATAGATACAGTATGTTTAATTATTAAAGTATAATCATGAACATTTTTTATGCATTATATCGAGTTGTAACCTTCGTATTCAATCTGTTCGTTAAACTATATTTTCATGAACTTTTTTAATGACTTTATCTACATTTATTTTATTAATATTACTTACAATCACTTTCGCATCCTGTATAGGATGAGGGTGTGGGTGTTGTTAAGGCAGAAATAACATCCATACTCACGCCCACACCGTCAAGATGAAAAACAAAATTAGTCCTGTGCCGAATAATCCACATGTACTGCTTGTCTTTCAAGTTAAATATACAAACAAGACAATGATACTTTCTATCATAAAAAATAACAAGAACAGTACATTAATGATTCTAAAGATTCGTAATCCAAAACGACTCGTTATTATCATTCTTTAGAGAGATCTTCTTTATATACTTTAAATCTATTGAAGCTGTACAATCGTAACGAGTCAGTTTCAATTCGACCATAAGGTACACACATTTTTTTTCTATCAAATAATCTGTCAGATATTTGATGACCCTTTGTTTTTTAATAAATAACAAGGTTTCGTAGAAAACATCGGATAGTTTCACAAACGATAATCTTAATTTGAATTCTTTTGATCAAAATAAATTAGTAAAGAAAATAAGATGTCTCCTTAGCTCCTCTCATATACATCTGTTTTATGGAGATTGTCAACAATTCTATCATAGAACTGAAGCTTCCATCATTGAACTTCTAATACAACAGTAATAGTGTTTATCTACGACATGAGTTTTTAGCAACGATTGTTCTGTCTGAACAGACGTATGTATATGATAAAGTCTTTAGCAAGTTTAAATAAGATTTTCTTTTTGATATGTCACGTATTTCTAGTGATTTGCAAACTCATCATATATTAATATTATACTTTTGGAACAGAAGTGCACGATCTGCTTCTGGGTGTGAGTGTGATCTTTTGAGTTAATCGACACTCACCCACATCTACATTCGCAAGAGAGCCTGCCCAAACCTAAAGAAGATAGAGACATGATCGAGACCTTTCCTGTCAATTTCATTTTTTATACGTTTGTTAATGACAAATGCACTTTTTTTTGCAAGTTTATCTTTGTTATCTACATAATGGTTACATACAAGCTTTCAGTCAACAGAATACAGCAAGAAAAATGATAAAAACTAGTTTGAACATTTTTTTTTTAATTTTATGTCTTAAATTCGCGATGACGAATTATGTTATCAAATCGTGTAATTTAGTCAGAATTTACCTATATAAATACTTTTTTTTACTTGGGATTCTCCAATAACAAACATGACTCACACGTTTTTTCTTCGTCACCGTAAACAAAATACTTATTTTTCGCAAGCTACTTCCAGAGTTAGTCAACCATGACAATATTTCATCACGTATTATTTCGTTCTCCATGTGCTGTTTTTCATAGTAACATCATAAAAAGCTAAATAGAGAGAAAAAACATTTCGAAAGGAAGTAGACACCTATAAAGAGAATCGTTTTTGATCATTACTTCACTAGTAAATCTAACACAGTAACTCCAATTCAAATCATTTACATAGTAAACAATGGGCAAAGGACAATCAAAAGCAAATGCACCAACAGTTCCAACAAGTACAGAAGGTCGTCGACGTCTCAATACCCAACAGATGCAAAATGTTCTCCTAATCTGGTTAGACAACAATATTGACGGAAACAATGATGATTGCCAAAATACAATCACAAAACTGCGATGTATTGTGAATGATATTAGTACATTTATAGATGACGATCAATGTTTCGAATTTATTCAAACAGTTGTCGACAAAAAAGTCTGTATGATCATATCTGGATCACTTGGACAACATCTTGTTCCTCGTGTGCACAATATGACTCAAGTTGATTCTATTTTTATTTTTTGTGGCAATAAGAAATATCATGAACAATGGACTAAGGATTGGCCCAAAATAAAGGGTGTCTTCACAGATATTACACCCATCTGTGAAGCACTCAAAGACGCTGCTCATCAATGTGAGCAGAACGCTATTCCTATGAGTTTCGTGGGAACAAATAAAAAGTTGGATCAATTAGATCCTTCTTTTATGTACACTCAAATCCTCAAAGAAATTATATTAACCATCACATTCAACCAGAAGCACATCCAAGATTATTTTGATTACTGTCGTGGTGCTTTTGTCGACAATGAAGAAGAAATAGTTAATATTAAACGCTTAGAAGGTGAATACCACAAGAAAACACCAATTTATTGGTATAGTTGTCAAATGTTTTTGTATCCCATGCTCAATCGTGCGTTACGATTGATGGATGGTGATATCATTACACATATGGGCTTCTTCATTGGTGATTTACATCGACAGATTGAACAACTGTACCAGAAACAATATACTGGTACAACTGTTGCTAAAACCTTCACTGTTTATCGTGGTCAAGGTTTATCTGCAAGAGATTTTGAACAAATGAGCAAAACTAAAGGTGGTCTTATTTCATTCAATAATTTCTTATCTACCAGCACGGTTCGCAATATTTCACTATGCTTTGCTCAAAATGCTGCAAGAAATCCAGACCAAGTGGGTGTACTTTTTATTATGAAAGTTAATCCTGCTCAATCAACAATACCATTTGCTTCCATTGCTGGTATTAGCAAGTTCCAAGGAGAAGAAGAAGTCTTATTCTCGATGCATAGCGTTTTTCGTATCCAGGATATAAAACAGATGGGTGGAAATAATCGTTTATATGAAGTTAATTTGACACTGACTGCTGATAATGATCCAGAACTAAGCAGACTTACTGATTATATTCGAAAAGAGAGTTATCCAGATTCTGAAGGATGGTACAGACTGGGTTTGGTACTACATAAAATGGGTCAATTTAACAAAGCTGAAGATATTTATCAAGTTTTACTGGATCAAACAAAGGATGATAAAGACAAGGCACCTAAGTATCATCAACTCGGTTCGATTACAATGGATCAAGGAAAATATGAAGAAGCACTTACATACTATGAACAATCACTTTCTATCAATCAAAAAACTCTTCCTCCCAATCATCCTGATTTAGCTTCTTCCTACGTGGGTATCGCCTTGGTGTATTGCAGCATAGGTGATTATCCGAAAGCACTTTCATCTCATGAAAAAGCCCTTAAAATCAAACAAGAATCACTTCCTCCCAATCATCCTGATTTGGCTGCTTCCTACAACAACATTGGTGGAGTGCATTACAATATGGGTAATTATCCAGAAGCACTTTCATCTCATGAAAAAGCCCTTGAAATTCAACAACAATCACTTCCTCCCAATCATCCTGATTTTGCTTCTTCCTACAACAACATTGGTTTAGTCCATGACAACATGGATAATTATCCAAAAGCACTTTCATTTCATGAAAAAGCCCTTGAAATTCGGCAACAATCACTTCCTCCCAATCATCCTGATTTCGCTACTTCCTACAACAACATTGGTGAAGTGCATAACCACGCGAGTAATTATCCAAAAGCGCTTTCTTATTTTGAAAAAGCCCTTGAAATTCTACAACAATCATTTCCTCACAATCATCCTGATTTGGCTTATCCTTACAACAACATTGGTTTAGTGCATGATAACATGGGTAATTATCTGAAAGCACTTTCTTATTTTGAAAAAGCCCTTGAAATCAAACAAGAATCACTTCCTCCCAATCATCCTAATTTGGCTATATCCTATGGAGACATGGGTTATGTGTATAACAAGATGGGTCAATACTCAAAAGCGCTTTCATTCTATCAACGTGCTGTAGATATTGCACAAACATCACTACCATCAAACCACTCGCAGCTTCAATGGTATAGAAACAATTTGGAAGACGTGAAAAAGAAATTATAATTTATTTTTGACTTTATTGTGAAAATAAACATGTATTGTAGAAAAAGATCTTGACGATATATAGTTATTGTGTCTAAACAAGGTAGAGTTCCTCTGTGTTGGGCAAGAAAGAGAACGGCCACCCAGCAGGTTATTTAAAGTAAAGAAGAGAGAGAAAAAGAACTGTATTTATTCAATACTATGAATTATTCTTTCTATTCCAACAAAAAGAATAATTCATATGCAATGAATAAATAATCGAAAGATAGAAAAATAAATGATTTTCGTAGATAGTAACATACCATGGAACAGATCAGTATGTTAATATGAATAGAAAACACTTCTCAATTCAACTTGAGTGTGAGTGTGGATGTTATATTTCAGAAACACCCACACCTATCCAGCTTCTCAATCTTTAAAATAAAATCTACTAGAGATGAGCAGGGAAAACCGTTAATCTATGCAACTGATTATATATAAATGTTGATAGTTGATTATCATTTGAGAGAAGTAAAGAATTAATTATAGAATCTGCATGATCAGATGTACAATCATCAAGACCTTCACAAGATAGTTCACCAATATGAATATATTACAAATTCTAAGTCATCTCTACTCATTGATTAAATAATAACACAAGAGGGAGCAAATATGCGAATAAACCTAATTGACATATTATTCCATCGACTGCTCTTTTATAGATACTAGAACGTGCACCTAGTAGTGCAAGTGACCATTCTTTCAAGTATAGAAGTTCCCTAATCATGAAATCATGGAAAAACAGTTTTTAAAATAATTAAAGCCAGTTTCTTCATTCAAAAAAAGACTTTTAATAGTTAAAATTTCGATTTTACTATCAGATCGATATTCGGCAATGTTTTTCGAACCTCCTCTACATTAGCGTTTATAGAAGTCATTTGGAAATTACTCGAAATGATATTATAAAAGTTGCAGTTGCTAGTCGACAATTGCCATCATTATTCATCTAGATCATGATATAATTGAAAAAGTATCATTAGAATTTAGCTGCTGTAGTTATTGCATTAGTCATCAATACTTTGAATATTTTATCATAAACTCATAGTAACCATCTTATCTGGAATGTATAAAAATGTTGCAGTAAGTTCAAATTATATAAACCAACAAGTTAATGAGATCTTTTTTGCTTAAAATCAATAAGATAGTTTCAAGAAATATTGCAGAAACACTCTTTTATTACTTATTAGGATCAACGGATTTAATTGGATCATATTATCAATTTTGATTATCCATCAAGTAGCGTTCACCGAAGCTCGATTCACTTGACTCTCAGCAGGAAATCAAATTGAATTTCTGCCTTATATAAAAACAAACATTTTCTAAAACTTTCATGTTTGACGAATGAATAATAAAGTTAAAAAATGCTTTAGTTTTATTGAAGTCAATTTTATAAAACGTAGAATTTCACAAAAAACCACAGTGCATGGAGATCTCTTTAACATTGTATATCAAAATTGATTTTGAACTTTTAATCTATATGCACTATAGCAAGACTATTAAACTGACAAACTTGTTCAAAATATTTTGCAATAATGCAACAACTAAACTTTTAATATGATCAAATTATAAAGCGCATGTTTTTAAGCTTCTACTTCTGAGTCTTATTTTATTGAGTTATCATATAGGACGTTTCGATACATCGTCGTTTTTCTCAAACATGCACTAAAAACATTTGTCGATGATAATAAATGGCATGCCATATAAAAATAGGTGAACTTTTTTTTCAAAGCTTTATAGTACTATGTGCACGAACGTTTCGTTTTTTTGTTATTAATATTATTTTCATTTTCCTCTATATTAAAAGTAAAATTGGCATTGCCTCATTATTTTAATTTATTCAATAAAATATTATATGTTAAATATTATACTATTCAAATAAAACGATAATAGCAAATAAAATTATATTATCAAAAATATGCCATAGTTATATGATTATTTGCGCCAATAAAATGGTCATTTTTGCCATGTTACCGACAAAAATAATACATGTAAATAGATAATTCCCGTCTCTAGACCCTATCCTTTTCATTCTAGCGAAAATTCAATATTAAAGGGACAGAAATGATTGTTATTGAATAAGATTTTTATTGAAAAAAAGCATTAGAAGATTATTATAAAATTTAAGTAAGGAAAATCTCATTGAAATTAAATGAAAATTGCGTTTCTTTGATCAAGTTGTAATATGTCTATGCATGTTTAATAAAATGGAGATAACTGATAATTTAATATGAATTTGATTAGTAAGAATTAAATGACACTATTATAATTTTAATAAGTGAAAGTAAATAATAGAATAATTATCTTGAGGGTGGGTGAGTGTAAGTGTGGTTGTAGTTACCATAGATATGATACACCAACATCTACACCGGCACCTACACTCTCAAGTTTGAATTAATTCTAAACCTTCAAAGAAAATTAACTTATTCTTTTCGAAATAATTACATAACAAGTTAAAGTTAACATTGTTATTTATTCGAAATCATTTCTTATAGAGAAAATTATTTTTATTAATTAAATACAAAATTATCTAACAATTTTTAAGAGAAAATAAATTTATCAATGAAAAGAAACAAAAAATGAAAAGGACAGATAAATGTATTTAATTTATAATTCATTTCGTAACAAATATTAATATAAATTAGTAAATTTGAATTATTTTAAAATATTTATATGATCGTTAAATATCATTTTTAATTTTATCTTTTGTTAAGAAATCTTAATAGAAATCGATTGATGAGATTTGTTTTATTTTTATGAGTATAATTAAATAATAAACAGAAATCTCTCTCGACATTAAAATTCTTAAACTGAATTTATTAGATTATTGCCGTTTGTTTTGTTTGAAAATTCTTTCAATTAATTAAATTTTTAACTTTGTTTTATTTAGAAAATAAAATACATCTTTCATATCTCTACAAATCATTCTTCTTACAATAAAGAATATTCAGTAATATTCAAGTTAGAATTCATTCAGTACAAGATGCATGAATAGTTAACCTAATACTCTTAGTATAATTTTCTAATCGAAATATAACTGTTATTCTGAAGATGTAAGATGTTATTTGTCGGTTAATGTACGTTACACATATCTGAAGAAATCTTTGTAATGATTTTATAATTGTCTCTTACAGATAATTAAAGAGTAAATCGCTTCTTAAATTTTTAGACCCAGACTCGATCGGATCAAGAATCTACTTAAGAAGCTTTCATCTCAGTAATTTTCTTTTGTAGATGAAAATCAGTTTGTGAATATTTTAAAATAAAGCAAAAAATAAAGTCAATGTCGGCAAGACAGTGAAATGTATTTTATAAATAAGACACTGTCGAGAACGATCTGATTTAAAGAAGTGAGACAAAGTTCGTATTGATTTTTCAATTCTATTCACAAGTTCAAATATTTTCCTATCGCTACGACCTATTCAAAAATGAAACCTGTGTTCTGCAGTAAATGCTGGACTTCTCTCGGACAAGAGAGACGCTAAATCATTGATAGAATAGTTTGTTAATTTTTTTTCCATGTGTAACACATAGTCTTGAATATTATTATGACAATTCAATAATGTTTTCGATATCTTCTTCAGTATGTCTCGTATATTTGCGCTCCTTTGTCCGACCCAGTTGTTTTAATCAAAATAGAGTCTCTCAAACAACTTTGATTCTGCTGCATTTTCAATTTTCGTTTGCTTGTGATAAATTCATTTATTTGTTGATAAGGACGGAGAAAAGAGGCGAACAAAAGTTACTTCTTATAAACTCAAACGAATACAAAGAACAAAGATAAACCACGTGTATATAAAGAATTTATTTTCATCTAACCCAGTCATTTTTATTCTTTTAATCATATTTTTCAAAGCATCTTATTGCACTTCGCTTCGTTTTCTAAGGTAAGTTAATGTTATTCGATCACGATTTTATCTTTACATGAGGGTGTGGGTATCTCTTAGTTCACACACTCACCCACATCCACACCCATCCTATAGAGCAAAGGTGTTTTTTTTGTTAGTGACGATATTATCTCTTATTTTTGAAGAAAGTTGGAAAAAAAGAATTTGTTTTGCTCTTTATTCCCACCTTACTTCGAAATATAAAGTGAGCGACACACAGGACAGAGTTTTATTATAAGTGATAGTAATAACTATAAAAAATAGCAAATGAAACTTGAGGAAAAAAGCGCAATCCAAGTTTCCATGAATTTTCTGTGATACTTTAGGATTATTCAACATTCGCGAGCATTCTTCGAGATTCCATGAGATTCTTCAGTATTGTCCACTTTTTGTCTGAAATCGATGAGACTGTTGTAACTCCTAAACTTAAGGGTAAGGTGTGAGTTTAAGATTACATTCACACTCACACCCTTAAGATTGTATTCTAATATCTGGTTTGTTTAACAATGTATATTCATATTCGATATTAGCGTTGTGAGATATTTGAATGTATATGGAGGTAGTTTGTTTTAAAGGCACAGTTTCTGTTCTACAGATGTGATAACGTCTGAAGTATTTGTATACCTGTGTTGTCATCAACATGAGGCGAGAAATTATATTTTGCATGCACATACTTTCAAGATAAAAGATACGTTAGTGGGTATTTTATTATATACATTGCTTGCGCTTTAGAGTGAAAATAACCAGATACGAGATAGAATTTAAAAAAGGTTTGAATACCGTCTCAAGTATACAAGTTTAGTTTCTTATCGATTTTTTTTTAATGTAAAGTGCTATAAAATATCGTATTTATACGATAGAGTAACCGCTTAGCCTAGAACTTTTTAATTTATTCTAAGTTTTCAGATAAATGTCAAACTCACCGCTTGTCTGTTTGCCTGTTGAACTTCTGCATCGTATCTTTAATCATCTCGATGCGCACACCATTGTTGTTTCAATCCGTTCGGTTTGCAAACAACTTCATGCAGTTGTCAATTCCTATAATCGTTTTCAACTCCATTACAATTCAACTGACAACTCCACTTCAAAGAGATATCCTTCCTTTAAAATTGTTTCTCGTCTCGTTCAACCTTTCAACGTCACTTCACTTATATTCTATGGCTCCAATGACAGCCAATGGTACATCAATTTTTTTCTCTCAGACATTAACATTAGTCAATTCACTAGACTTCGTTCATTGACTCTCTATAAAGTCAACTGCAATCAAATGAACGAATTTTTTCTTAATGCTACCATTAATTCTCTAGTTTCACTGACAGTCAATATGCGTGAGCGAGCGGACAATAATACAGCCTTATCAATCATCTTTCCAGTTGTCGTTCAAACCAATCTTCAAAAACTACGTTTAATTGATCTGGATTATATAACTAATCAAATAATGTGGCCTATCCAAAATACATTAGAACAACTGACAGTCAGAGATTGTTCTTACCATCAATATTGTATCATTCTCTATAATTCACTCCGCTTAAAAACACTTGTTATTAGAAATTGTATTATGGACAATAATGATCAAACGGTTTCTTCGTCTACACTTACGACATTTGATTCTACAGGTACAGAGTTAAATGTGCATCTTTCAAACATTATCTATTTCATCGCAGAGATAGCAGCTCTTTTCAAATACTTAAAGGTCGCTCGAGGTTCAAAGTCTCACCGAAAACGCCTTGGATAAAAGTTCCAGCCCCATAACAGTGTACCGCATCGTAACATGAACTCCGAAGCTATTACAATAATGATACAGAGATAGATACAACTAATCGAACTAATTTGAGTCTTACAGGATCAAAACAAATGTAGGATAACTCATGCCAGTCTAATCTGATCGTTTCGATTAGGGATGGGATCGGTTCGGTACAATATGGTTCAATTATCTCTAAATTTCCATTAGTTTCGGTTCGATTAAAGTTTAAAAAAATTCGAATCAATATAATCTTTGATTGAGACCACTACCACTAATGAGGGAACTATTCCAAGTGATACTCATCGTTTCAGCTTATGCTAGGCTCACAAAGAAATTTCATTGAAACTAGTACAACTTTTGACTATCTATTAAATTGTTTTACGAAAGAAAATTAAACACAACTTAAAGAAAGTTCGATTATCTGTGTCAACAACTTGTAAGGCTCAGTTTTTTAAAAATATGGTAGAAGATAGAAAATCAAAACGAAAGAACCAGCTATTTAAATATTATATACTTTATGCTTTGATTTAATAGTGTATCCGCAATTGGTTTCATTGACTATTGGTGACGGCCGAATGTCAACCCAACAACTTGAACGCCTTCTCTCATTAACACCATCACTTGGTCATCTGAAACTGGTTTCATCTAAATCCATACGTAATCCAATATTTGATGGTTCATATTGGGAACAATTCATTCAAGAGAAACTACTTCTACTGAGGCAATTTCAATTTTCTTTCACTTGTATTAGCAAGAAATTGAATGACACCACTACCCCCGATTCACTTATCTTCCCATTTCAAAGTCCGTTCTGGCTCAACAACAAAAAATGGTTTGTTAATTGTGATTATATTTTACGACAATCGAAAATTATCCTTTATACAACACCACGCTGCATAGAGGTTGATGCCATAACAAGATCTTCTGTATTTGAAGTATCATTAACAAACCCTCAATGTCGCTTACTTTTACATCAAAATTACAATATGATCTATAACATCGAAGGAGAAGTAAGTCTGACACAACTTTTTTATATAAGAATAGTCGTATGCGTTTCAGCGAAGGAAATCCATATTTATGGTATGTCTCACAATTTTATTTTATGAGATATTTTTGTAGACCAGAAAATCTATTTTTAGAATCTAACTTAAACATACGAAATATAGGCGTTTCGCCAGGGATACTTTCATTTTCACTCAAATAGCATAACCAAATTATATCATTTCAGTTGAACGAAAAAATACGTATAGACCTTAATCGTATTTTACACAAGCTCATATAGGTGACGATCTATTGTGACGAGTTTCACTACCGATTTCATCTATGATTCTTCACTCCCCTTGCATTTTATGATGTATATTGTTATGTTTTCACATAGGCATCCTCTGAATTAATTATTTCTCGCAATCAAATTGGGGACAGCCTGATACAACCTGTGGTTGTGGCGCTACTAAATTACAAAGTGACATATTTTTCAAATTCATTTCACTGAAATTCACGTTTTATTTATCATTCAGACATTAACTGCAGTTGATCTTTCATATAATGAGATTGGAGACATTGGAGCACAGCATTTGGCTGACACATTACAAAACTATCAAGTTCGATATTTCTCAAACTCAATTAAATTATACTTATTTCTTACTTCATACATAGACGCTTGCTACGCTAGACCTTTCCCACAATCGAATCGGAAACAATGGAGCACAATATCTTAATGATACCTTCAAAGAAAACAAAGTAAACATTCAACACTTCTTATTTTGTCCTGAGTATTATCGTTCTTCGATATAGACACTGATTAAATTGAACCTCGAAGAAAATCCTGGTAGCTATTGTGCAATTGTGAGTGCAGCAATTCAAATACGACATAATAAAGTAATTCGTTTCTTCCAAATTCCTTCTAACACATGTTTACCTTTTTCTGGAGACAATCACTAAAATGAATCTTTGTGGAAAGATTATTGATGACATTGCGATGAAATTTTTGACTGATGCACTAATGAGCAATGAAGTAACATCATTTCTATCTTTGTTCGATAGGTGATCACCGTTTCATTGTGATATAGACACTTATCAAGTTGGACCTTTCAACGAATAAAATCGGTGACATTGGAACAAAACATTTAGCGAATGCATTAAAAGACAACAAAGTGATAGCTGCCGCACATTTGAAAGCATAATCATTTTTACTTTTCCTGCATAGGTACTTACCACTCTGGATCTTTCTCACAATCGAATCGGTAACAATGGAATACAATATCTTTATGATGCCGTCAAAGAGAATAAAGTAAACCTTCAACACTTCTCATTTTTCTTAAATATCGTCATTAATTCGCATAGACACTTATTAAATTGAACCTGGAAGGAAATCCGGGTAGCTGTTGTACAATTGTGAATACAGCAATTCAAATATACAATGATAAAGTAATTCGTTTCTTCGAGATTCGTTCTCATAAGTTTTTACTTTTTCTGAAGACAATCACGAAAATGAATCTTTGTGGGAAGAGCATTGATGACATCGGAGTGAAATTTTTGACTGATGCGCTAATGAACAATGAAGTAACATGATTTCTCTATTTGTTTCTTTGCTGATCATAGTTTCATTATGATATAGACAATTATCGAGTTGGACCTTTCGAAGAATCGCATTGGAGACACAGGAATTCTATATTTAGCTGATGCATTAAAAAACAACAAAGTGATATCTGACTCACGTTTGATTTCATAATCATTTCTATATTTCGTTCGTAGGTACTCACCATCATCGAACTCTCCCACTGTCAAATCGGAAATAATGGAGCACAATATCTTCATGATACCTTCAAAGAAAACAAAGTAAACATTCAACACTTCTCATTCATCTTAAGTATCGTCATTGTTTCGTATAGACACTTATTAAATTGAACCTGGAAGGAAATCCTGGTAGTTACTGTGCAACTGTGAGCGCAGCAGTTCAAGTACGCAATGACAAAGTAATTCGTTTCTTCTAGATTTCTTCTCATAACTTTTTACTTTTTTTTGAAGACAATCACTGAAATGGATCTTTATGGGAAGAGCATTGATGACATTGCGATGAAATTTTTGACTGATACACTAATCAACAATAAAGTAAAATCATTTCTATATTTGTGTTTCATTGACGCTCATAGTTTCATTGTGATATAGACAATCGTTGAGTTGGACCTTTCCCGGAATAGAATCGGAGATGTTGGAATAAAACATTTAAGTGATGCATTACAAACGAATGAAGTGAGATTTATTCTAGGTTTATTTATCCTAATGATTGTTTTTTTTTATTTGACACAGATGATTACGATGATGAATCTTTCGAGGAATTTGATTGGAGACACTGGAACTCAATATTTAGCTGACATGCTGCGAAACAATATTGTAAAGTTTTTTTATTAACTCTTTTGATCATTATTATTATTAATATTGTTGTTTTTGAACAGACGCTGACTAAACTTGACCTTTCAAACAATGCAATTGGAGATATTGGAGCACAGCTATTATTCAATTCATTGGGAACCAACAAAGTTTGCTAACAGGATAATGTCTTTCATTTAACTAAATTTATTTTTCTTTCAGACAATAACAAAACTGAGACTAACAGAAAATAAGAGTAAATATTGTGAAGCTATTGGAATAGCAATTGGAATTCGGAATGATACGGTCTTTTAAGATTGATTGAATTTTTACTCAACGTTGTACTTTTTTTTTGACAGACGCTCACTAGTATAGATCTTCAATGGCACCAGTATGGAGATAATGAAATAAAATTATTAGCAAATGAATTATGCAACAACAAAGTAACGTATTTTGTTATCTAATCTAATTAATGACTATGTGTTTTTGCTGTGAAATAGACAATCACTAAGTTGAACCTTTGGCAAAATAAAATAAGTGATACTGGAATAAAATATTTAGCTGATGCATTAAAAAACAACAGAGTAATATCTGACTCACATTTGATTTCATGATCACTTTTACTTTTGTTTCGTAGATACTCATCATCCTCGAACTCTCCTGCAATGAAATCAGTATCAATGGATTGCAATACCTTAATGATGCCCTAAAAGAAAACAAAGTAAACATTCAACACTTCTCATTTCTCTTAAGTATCGTCATTAATTCGCATAGACACTTATTAAATTGAACCTTGAAGGAAATCCTGGTAGCCACTGTACAACTATGAGTGCAGCAATTCAAATACGAAATGATAAAGTAGGTCGTTTCTTCCAGATTCTTTTTCACAACTTTTTACCTTTGTCAGAAGATAATCACTAAAATGGATCTTTGTGGGGAGAGTATTGATCACATTGAGATGAAGTTTTTGACTGATGTGCTATACAATCATTTTAAATTAGAAAAAATTTTGCTGCAATCGGAAGAAGGTCACGATTGCACATATGAAATCTGTCTTTCGAAATTCGACTCTATACGGGAGCTATAAAAATGCAAAAAAGATGATAATTAACAGCTGAGAATTTCATTATACGGCAATATATTTAGATTCATTATCTCTCACTTTTTTGCTCATCGGAAATAGCTACATCCGACTTAAATTCATTATAATTTCCTCTTCGCAATCCCTACATTGAAAATTAGTAAACTTAGATGTCATATGAAATTTTATTCGAACACATTCGAGATTTGTCCAGTCAGTCAACTTCTCTACTCGACCTTCGGCCAGATAGAGTTCTAGTTTTTATCTTTACTTCATCTGCATCCTTACTCTTCTTAATGTTACATGATTAATTCACTGAAAGTAACAGTCGTGTTACTCACAAAAATATTTCGTTTTAGCTTGATAAGCTATTTAAAGAACGTTTCACTATGAATATTTTACTATTCGTATTCGTATTCATATCAAAAGCTCTTTTAAATATATCTTTCTATTATAATGTGTCATTATTTAAGTTGTAAACAAATATAGTAGTTTATAAAATGCAAAAACAGCAGTTTTCAGATCTCTGTAAATTCAAACAGAAATCTCAACAGAAAATACTTCTAGTGTTGTCCGTCTTTTTTTTATAAAAACTTAGTCAATCTTTTTAAATTTATATATAGCTTATGGCTTCCGGATTTTCATCATCAAATAACATAAATCATAAAAAACGAGCTCTTCTCATTGGCAACAATAAATACAAGAAAAGTAGTCAACTTCAATACTGTACCAATGACGCTAAAGATCTTGCTAATAAATTACATAAAATTGGCTTTGAAATTACAGTTGATACTAATTTAACATATGAACAGATGGATAGAATGATCAAAACGTTTATTGATAATATAAATCCAGATGATCTTGTTCTTTTCTTTTTTTCGGGTCATGAATATCAATGGAGTCGTCTAAATTTTCTCATCCCCATTGATGATGATCGAATTACAACAAACACTGAACTTACATATCGAGCAATAAATGCTCAAACTACGCTTGAAAAGATTATCAATCGTCGTCCATCAGCAGCTATATTTCTTCTTGATTGTTGTCGAAATAGTTTTATATGCGAATCATCAAATTCTAATGGTCTTTCAAATATGCGAGCGATTGATGATTCATTTATTGGTTTTTCATGTACAGCAAATAAAGTTGCATTAGATAAATCAAAAAATGATCGAAATAGTTTATTTACATCTTATCTTCTTCAACATATTAATCAACCGAATTTAACTATTGATGAAATAATGAATGATGTTTGTGATGGTGTAATGAAAGAAACAAATAATGATCAATGTCCATTTCGAGTATCTTCGCTTCGACAGAAGGTTTATTTAAATCAACAATTTCCAATTGGTGAGTCTGAAATAATTTTGAATCGCTATAAATATGGAAAATACAGGGTGTCCGCAAAGTCATTTAATAAAAGCTTTTTAGTATAACTTTACTGCTCTATTAGATTTTTTAAAATTAAACCATAGATGAATAAAACGAATTTTTTCTGTACGAACAAACTTCAAAAGTATTGTTGAAACGTATCAGCTTTCACCAAAATACACCCGCACCCTCAAGACTTTTCTAGCAATTGCACTCAAAAATATTCATCAATATGAAGATTAGTATCTATCATCATATGTAAATGAACTCATTTAGTATTAAATTCAAGGTCAAAAATCTTTTATTTGCAAAGTAAAAAATGATGTTTTGTGATCTTTTAATGATTAAGAAATAAACAATTTCAATTCTTTTTTTCTAACTCAAAATAAAAATAAATTATTTACAAAAATAAATAATGTAGGGAAATAAAGCTAGATTTTAAAAATAGTTATATTTGAATAAATATGAGAAATAGAAATCTTTTTTTTAATATTAATTCGATATATTTGTAAGAACTGTTTCAAGAAAACAAAGTTAAAATAATTGTATATCATTATAAATAATGTTGACAATTCTTGTCTCATCCATTTTATTGATTTCGATGCGAGTGAGATTAGTTCTTGATACTTTAACATCTGTTTAAAAAATCATCACAATATAACTTTATATGCTGTTTTTATTCTCATAGAAAAATATCGTCAACTTCGTTCTTATTTATCTATAGAATTTATCAATCTTCTATATTTGCAAATCAAATTTATTTCTTTTTGGTTAAAATAAGAAGAAATCTATTTAAGTCTAATTTATGTCTCTTTCATTTTTCATTCTTAAGAATCTTTGTTAAACAAAAAACGAAAATTATGACAATGTTCTTGAAGAGTTCTTATTAAAATGTTTGTAGAATTTAGTTTTGTTTATCAGGAGTTTATAGAACAAGAAAATTGTTTGTGAAATAGTTTTCAAAGATAAAAACATTTAAATATTTTCAGGTTTTATTCCACAAATATAAAAACAATTTTATTAAATAAGTTTTAAATTAAATTAAATTTAAGTTACAATTAAATTAATTCAAATCATTTTTACTTTGTTTCATTATCACCCTGTCAACATACTAATTCAACAAAACAAACTCTCAACATTCATTTTTATACAAACTATCATTTTTATTTTATTACATTTTAAACTAACACTTTTCTTATTCACATTTATTCATCAACTTCATTCAAATATTTAAATATTTCTTTTTCTTTTAGGACAATCAATTCCTCTCAATCATTTTAATATCAACACCAAATGGAGACGACATGGAATTACTATGGCTGGAGGAAATGGGTATGGCAATCAATTAAATCAACTCTCTCAACCTCGCGGTATCTATGTTGATGATGATCATCAAACTGTATATATTGCTGATTGGTTGAATCATCGCATTGTTGTATGGAAATACAGAGCAAAGAGTGGCCAAGTTGTTGCCGGTGGAAATGGGTATGGAAATCGGAGTGATCAATTGTATTTTCCAACAGATGTGATTGTTGATAAAAAGAATGATTCTATTATCATTTGTGATCAAGGAAACAGACGAGTGGTACGATGGTCTCGTCAAAATAGTACAATTGGAGAAACAATTATTTCTGACATTGATTGTTATGGTCTAACAATGGATAAAAATGGAGATCTTTATGTCTCTGATTATATGAAGAATGAAGTAAGACGATGGAAACAAGAAGAGAAAGAAGAAATAATAGTAGCAGGTGGAAATGGAAAAGGAAATCATCTTAATCAACTCAATTGTCCTACTTATATCTTTGTTGATGAAGATCATTCAATTTATGTATCGGATTGTGACAATCATCGTGTGATGAAATGGACGAAACGTGCAAAAGGTGTTGTTGTTGCTGGTGGAAATGGTCAAGGGAATAGTTTGACACAATTGTCTTATCCTCGAGGAGTGGCCGTCGATCAATTGGGTAATGTTTATGTGGCTGACTATGACAACCATCGAGTGATGCGTTGGTGTGAAGGATCTAAAGAAGGTAGTATTGTTGTTGGTGGAAATGGAAAAGGAGAACAATCAAATCAGTTCAATTGTCCCACAGGTTTATCATTCGATGTTCAAGGCAATCTCTATGTTGTTGATCATGGAAATGCTCGAATACAAAAATTTCATATTGATTTGAACTAAATTTGTTGAGACTGATGACGAAATAAATAATTAAAGTTTTTTTGTGAAACTATTTCTGTTTATCTTGATTGAAAAATAAAATGTGAAAATTTAAAATGAAGTTTTGCTAATAATAAAATTAAGTTTGATTTATTTGTTAATTTCGTTGTGAGTGATTTGATATTGTATTGAAATAATTAAAACTAAATTGTCTGATTCGATTTAAATAGATATAGAAGTGAGTTTCTAATTCTATTGAAGATAAAATAATCTGAGACGATAAGAAAGTAAGATGGAAGAATATTTTCATGTTTTAAAGTTGTGTGAGTATGAATAAATAAAATGAATGATTAGATGAAATGAAATAGATCGAATTAATATTTTATGTAAATAAAATTAATTTTATAATAAAAAATTTGTTAATTTCTTTGATTTGATCTCTCGTGTTGATAATAATGATAATGGTATATTTGTTATTTTAATTTTGAATTTATGATTTATGATTAAATAAAAAGATACAAAATACTTGGATGAGGAATTGATTAATTTAGTGATAAAATACATGGATGATGATTAGATAATTCGTTCATAGAATTGATGAACTATAAAATCTACTCAGAATTTGAGGGTGTGAGTATAAATGTTGTTAAGAAGAGACACCCTTGTGTAATTCAATGAATTGTCGCTATTACTCCTTTAGCTTTCCTGTAATTATTCTCTGATTGATATTATAATTTATTTCTATATCTATTATCAAATTTTCTTATGAATAGTACAACATTTTTTTATGTTCTTTGTGAAAGATTCGTTGTCCTTTTAATCATAAGATTTGTTAATTTACATTCAAATAATTCTGAAACAAAGACAAATTTTTATTTAAGATTTTAATAAATAATACATATAAAGTTTAATAACGTATTGCATCAGTTTTTGATTTTATATCCTGATTTTGTTGATGTCCTTTAAAAAACTTGATTAGTTTTTCTGCTTTAGATAATTTTTCCCAATTTGAATGACGTAGTTGCTGTTGTTGTTGTTGTTGCTGCTGCTTGTGTTGTTCTGTTTTGATAGAATTTTCATGGATGATTATTTCTATTGGTACAGGTTTTTGTTTAAAAGCATCTTTTAATTCAACATCATCTTCTAAACCAGCTATTATATCAATAATATCCAAACATTGAAGATCACCTAATCGTCGACAAAATGGCATCCAAAGAGATTTATTATTCATTTTCGATATTGATATAGCTATTTGACCAATGATAGGTAAACCTAATTGAAGTAAACATTTTATTGCTGGAATTGCTCGATATTCAAATGCAAGAAATAAAAATGGAATATAACGTTCACCTTGAACATAATCATTTAAAGATGAATTTGGATCGAAATCTTTTAGATGAAAACCCATTTGAATCAATTCATTATTAAGTAATTTAATCTCATCAATAGAATTCTTTTCAATCGCTTGTTTAAATTTTGAATAGAAAGCTATTTTTAAATAATTACTAATCGCAATTGATTTTCGTTGTAATTCATGTTCAGGAAAATTTCGAGATGAAAATCTTTCAAAATGTAATTCATGATTAAGAAGATAATCATTCGGAGAAAAATTCAAACAATCATTTAACTAAAAATAAATCAATAAATTCTTTTACATATATAGAAGAAAAAACAAAATTTTTACTTGTTTAGCATGTACTTGTTCTAAAATTTCCATAGATATTTGATCATTCATCATACAAGCATAATGAAAAGATGTACGATTAAGATTATCTTTCATATTGATAATAGTTTTATATTTATTACACAAAAATCTAAGATAGACGAAAAAAATAAGTCTTATTACAATTTATTAACAACAAGGGGGTAATTACTGGCACCCAGCACCTCAGCCAAGAAGGTAAGGGCTGACAATGAGCACAGAAAACACCGAACAAGTGCTAAGGTGCTGAGTGCTGGGTGCCAGCTACAGGGGGCGTAAGTCAGGTGTCAGAGCAGGGGGGGGGGGCGTAACCCCAGTTTTTCTGATTCAATGGTCAAAAAGTGAGCTTTATGGAAGCAAGGGGGGCGCAAACCCCTTTTTTCCTATTAGTTTTCGGAAGCAGGGAGGGCGGGGGATTATGCGCCCCACGCGCCCCCCCCCTTCCTCTACTTACGCTACTGGCCAGCTATTATCCCACGACTCAGCACCCGTTCAGTATCTCAGTACCTGTTCGATATTTTTCGGTGCTGGATGCCAGCTTTTACCCCCGTTGATTAACAACTTAATAGAAAATAACTAAACTTACTTTAAAATATCATATTTTTGATGAAGTACTGCTAGATGTACACATGTTCTTCCAAATGAATCTTTTGTAGAATAAATATTCGGTTGTAATTTTAATATTAATTTTAATTTTTCAAAATTATTCTCGATAATTGTTTGTAAAAAATTAAACATTAATACTGGTAATGAACGATATAATTTTAATGAACGTAATAATTTATAAACATATCTTGTCATTAATAATGTTTTATTTTTACAAAATATTAATAAATAATAACCGAAATTATTTAAAATAAATTGTTCAATAAATTTATCATTTTTTAATTGTGAAATTAATAAATTCATAATAATATCATAGAATGGTCTTAATTTATTATGCATTGATATTGATTGTGTCGATTCAATAATATCAACAATGGTTTGTTCGAGTTCATTACGTTGTGTTAAAAGTAATGGATTTTTATAAATAATATTTGAAAATATTTTTAAATATTCCGTATTTTCTTTTAATGAATATAAATAGATAAGATGAAATAAAATTGTTTCACCTTTAGCTGATTTCATTGACATATTTGAATTCAATAAAATATTATCACGGATATTATAAGTAATAAATTCATCGAAGCAATGAAAAAAAAATGGTAAACCATCAGTACATAATATATTAACATCATATTTTATTATTGATGAATGAAATAACATTTCAAATGGTTTTGAACATTGAGTATCAAGACAATATTCTAATAGAGATTTGGAATATCTTCGAACATCTGTTAATCGATGTATTGTATCTAATGGATAGATTTGTAATGAATTCTTATCATGTTCATATATAAGTGATGCTCGATCCCAATCACATGCTAATATTGAATGAACAAATTCTGTTGTAATTTGATAATTAGCAAGAATATCAATGATTGATTGACAATTTAAATCACAAGCTTTATCTAATAATGTTTTATTTGAATTATGTTTACAATCAACTTTAATAAAACCTAGAAATTATATTTTATATGTATAGAAATTATTAATATTGTTATTTATTTACCAGTCATTAATCGTTCACATTCTTGTATATTACATGTTTCAATTGCAGCCCAAATACCTTCACCATAAGCCTTATAGAAAGCTTTTAATTGTGGTTTATTTTTTATATAAACATCCGCTGTTTTTCCTTCATGATTAACTATTCGTGGATCAACTCCAACACGAAATAAAGCCTAGAATATACATAGATAAACATAAGTTTTCATTTTACATCAACAATATTTGTAGCAAAATCTGGAAAGTTTGTTAGTCATAGTTTCATATTACTCTAAATATATTTTTCTTGAAATACCTGGATTAAATCAAAACTATTATCATCGAAAGTTTGAATAATAGCTTCATGTAAAGGTGTGTTACCCATTCCATCTGTTACATTTGGATCAGCACCAGCATTACTCAATGCATAGATCATTCGAAAACCAATACTACAAAGCACAAAAAAAAACGATAGATTAATTTATATGAAATAAATCGATGTATACTTGTCTTGACTGTGACTATTTCGACAAATAACATGATAATAAGAACCTTCAATTGGATGAGTAAAATCGACTAAATCAGGTTGTTCATGAAGTAATGAATTGAGTTCTTGTAAAGTTGTATCCGAATAATTTGATGGATTAGAAAGGATTTTATATAGATGATTTTTATAAAATCGATCAGTTTTTGGAGGCATTCCGAATAGGTTGTTATCGTTTAACTTTGAACACTCTAGAATGAAGAATGAATAAGAAAAAGAAAAAAATAGAAGTTTTAAGTATTTATCGGTAAATATTTGAATTCGATATGAGATTTTGAAATGGGAAATGTTTGATAAATATGTTGTTAAGAAAAGAGAAAATTTAATGTTGATAGATACGAACACTTCATTATTAGAAAAGAAAAAAAAACCGTCATTTCTTTTAGATTTTTCTGATAAAGACACTGAATATTGAGAAAATATTTACATTTATTATTTACTCATTTTTATAAAAGTATATAGATAGAAATACTTTGGCGTCATCGATACTTCCTCTTATTTTCTTTTGTTGTATCGATGACAAAAAGAGTTTTCTCCTCTTAAATATACATTAATTTTCAAAAAGAAAAAAACGATACTATTTAAATAGTTCAAGAGCCTAAAAGGTTTATTTTATGATAAAATGAAGGCAAAAGAATATCTTTTTTTTTGTAGACGATGAATATTTTCTTAATGTAATTCTATTGAAACATTGTTGAGAAAAACTAACGTAAACAAATAGAAGAATAATCTACTATTTTAAAAGAAAAGGACATTTCATACCAAATAGTACTTTGACAAAAAATATGTCTCAGTAGTTCATATTTATTTTTAGAAGTGTTAATAAGTTCTTTATAAATAATTTTCATCAATTATAATCATAATAATTGTGTGTCTGTTTGTTGAAATGAATATCAACTTAGTATCATCTTATTTGTGTTAGTTACATTCATTGATAGAAAAATAAAAAAAATCTTTTCTCTTGATACAGTATTTATTTTCAAAAATAAATTCTACAATTCATATTTCAATCCCATTTTCATCAGCTGAATTACTGCAAAAAAAACTTTATCAACTGTACTACTAAGTAACCCAGACCACAATTTATTATTTAATATATTTTTTTGTTGTGAATGATGTGAGACAATGACGTCAGCTTTTTTTGTCTACGGCTGCTCAAACATGAAAAGAATGTGTTTTTTTTTCTTTTCTTTTTGACTATTATCATTTATAATACATGTGATATGTAAAGGCAACGCCCAACTATCGATTAGATTTATTTAGATAAAAAAAAAGTGATAGATTTAAACTCATTTTATTTTATTTAAAAAAAAATGTAAGATTCTTGAGCATAAATATTTATAATTAGTAGTTAAGCAATTTTTGGTTCTGATACAACATTGCCATTTTCATCGTGGAAAACACGTACACGATCATGTCTTTCATCTGTTGTTACTGGTGAACCATCTTCTAATTTAATAACATGTAAATCTATCAAAAAATACATAATATATTTATTTGTCGATTTCATTGAAAACTAATTGCTATGTCTTACTTGAATCTTCTTTTTTAATTGCTTCAACAGCTTCATCAGCTGGTTTGCCAACAAGATTAGACCAAGATTTGTGGTTGCTTGACATATTTCTTAGTTACGAATATTAAATAATGAAAAAATGTAATTGCTCTCTCTAATTACTGTTTAAATAATGGTCGATCGCTTGTGAAAAATATTTTTTTTATCTAACTATAAGACGAAAAGTATATCCTGTAAGTTCGAATGCTTTTTACTCATTCTCTCTCTCTGACTAATGTATATGACGTTGTCTTTAATTAATACGACAAGCAAATTACTGTAAGTCAGTGATAATAACCATTTGTAAGGACAAACAAAGAGTGATCCTCTTCATTTTTTGTTTTGAATGAGTTGTATTTATATTCAAAATAAAATTTAAAGTACAATAAAGATTGAAAACAATATGAATATGTAAACTACAGTTTACGAATAGATATTTAGTAACTTGCATTTTTCTTAACCCTTTGACTCCTAGTGACGTATATATACATCTCGTAATATTCAACGTGATATACAGTACTTCTTAGATGATTGTGATGTCCTCCTATGTATTGTCGATTACTTTATCTTTCTAAAGTGATAAAGATTATATTAAAAGTGTCTTTTAAAAAATTGCGATTTTCGGAAAAAGAACCGGGGAGTCAAAACGTTTTGATTTTTTTTGAAATATTTAGTTTGATAACATATCATGGTCTTGATAGACATTGTTTATAATAAATAAAAAAATGTAACTACAGTTTCCATTTTTTATCACAAAAATTATTTTATTCTAATTAGAAACGTAGCTTTATGTTTTATTTGAGGCATGCTCTTGTCGCAGTAAAAATGTTTGAATCAGTGAGATATATTTTTATAATATGTTAGTTCTTTTGATATTAGTGTAGGTATGTATCATGTTAATTACATTGATTATTTTAAATTACTTCATCCAGCATATAAAGATTAAGATAATTTAACCGTTTAGAAATCAATTATAAAACAACTAACTGATCTCAATTCTATATTAGATTATGCCACAATTAAAATACAAAAGAAATTTTCAGATATATATACATGCTAAATTAATGTGAGATTTCTTGTCAAATAAAGGTTTACAAGTAGCTATGCTTCATGGTTTAATACTAATTTAAATAAATTTCAGTGAACATAATAAAATACGTGATGTAGCACATAAACCTTTTCAATAATTATTTATTAACATCCACCCAAACCATCAATCGATTAATCCAAATATTCGATGTAAAATTTGTTTAACTGTTACTAAAACAAGAAATTAAGATACATTAGAAAAATTTTAATTAGAAATAATTCTAATAAACAGTAATATTTAACTTACGATAGACGTAATCATTTTTTTATTTTAGTTTTATCGGAAAGCTGATATATCAGAAGAACGTATTCGTTTATTAGTTGCATTTAGTCGGTTTGATGATGAAAATATTTAACATCAAGCACTTGAATATATATGCTATAAAATATTGAGATTTTTATTTTTGAAATATAATACTAAATGATTCTATTACAGGATGGATTTCTATAAATATGAAATTCTTGTTCGTTTCTTTTAGCATTCCCCCAAGTCATTTTATTATAAAAGAAGGAGTTGAAGAAGTTCGAGTAAGATTCTAACTATTATATAAACTTCATATTTTATTTTTAGAAATTTTATGTTGATCATTCAAATCAATATTCGTCGACTTGTTCTTGAACGATACAAACATAATATTAATGACTTTCTTCGTGTTTGAAAATAACGAACATCTCATTTTGTTTCATTATTATCTGTTATATCTTGTTTATTCATTCAAAATGATTTCGGTGTTTTTCTTTTATATAGGTATCATAGTTATCTCTTAATAAATTACTAAAAATAATATGTCATATCATTCTGTATAAGAAGATTCTTAATTCTATTCAAATTATTTCACAAAAAAGGACGAGATGAAAAAAGATTATTGACATTCATTTCATACTTACAACATCTTAGTTGATTGAAATTCTCATCATTGTATTATTTAAATGATCAAATATTTAATGATAGATGTTGTATAAGCTTGAACTAATAATTATTCTTATTTATTTATTTTATTTTCGATTGAAATTTTTATAGTTTACTCTTTCAACCTTGTCTAATTACCATTACATTCGTCCTAAACCTTCTCAATCATGTTACTAAATATAGATGTCATCACTATTCGAATTTGAAAGAATCATTTAATTCTCCTCACAGTCGTCCACAACATCATAACAATAGATATAAGTTTTGTTCAATTAGAAGTAGAACGATGTATATATGAGTAGATGAATATGCGATTTTTGAACGTAATATTATTCAACTGATACTGAAAAATAATCATATATCATTGGAAGATGACTAATATCGAATTAAGATTCTTCATTATCACGAAAATTCTGTTCACAAATATTCGTAAAGAAATAATCATTTCCACTTTATCAGATTATAATGCTTTATAAATCCTATAGACCGATGAGGTTTTAAAATAAGTTTATTACTTAACATACGTTACATCATCATTTGTATATTCTTACATCTGTAATTTACCACTTACTTTTTTTATTGTAATTGCTATATGATAAATATAGACATTTAGATATATTAATGAGTACGAATCAAGCAAATAATGACTAAGCAAAATGCGTCACTTCTCTACTCAAAAATATCGAAGAAAAATATATGATTTTACTCCCCTATGATCACGTTGTTTAGGCACGTTGATGAAAACAAAGGATAATTATATCTATTGCTTAACGGATAAAACAGTACAGTGCGATAAGGACGCTTTAAAAATATATCTATGTAAACAAAAGGTGATTGCATTTCGTTCTGTGCGAACGAAAAAATATACTTACCGATGATTTTATGCGCATGCGCATATATGAGAACAAAAGATAATTACCTCTCTCGTTCTAAATATAAATCCAGATCTGGTTTTCTTACTGTTTAAAATAAACCAGACTACGCCATATTGCATACGCATCTAAAAAAAACTATTTTTACTGAATAATTCCCTGTTTGAAGCTCGACGTATATATAGCCGAAGCAAAACTACACAATTATACCATTTCAATTCACTTCTAAACAACATTCAACTGCAATACAAACTATACTGCCATGAACAAGACTATCCTTGTCGTGCTCTGCGCCATTTTACTAGCAAACTCATTCAATACAGCAATGGGTTATAGTTTGGCTAAGCGCGACACAAGTTAGCATTATTCATAACGATGTAACCGTCATTGATGTTATATCTGATGGAAGTTGAATATTCGCAAGCACTGTAGTTTAACAGAATCGTATTGGTCCTCGCTGTTCATCTGTTATGTTTAGGTCTTTTATGTTAGACCTGACTCAAACTGCATCTGCGGAAGCAGCGTAATCGAACATAATCATAATACTGTTAGCTATTCATCTATTGTGTTCAGGCCTTTTATGTTAAATGTGATCCGAGCTAAATATGCGCTAGCACCGTAGTTGCACAGAATCGTCTTGCTCTTATCGGTTCATCCGTTATGTTTAGGTCTTTTATGTTAGACCAAATTCAACCTGAATATACCTCAGCCGTATAATTGAACCGAATCGTAATCTTATTCACTATTCATCCATTGTGTTTAGCTCTTTTATGTTAGATCCGATTCAAGTTCAATGTATTCAAACCGTGTGGTTGAACAGAATCGTCTTAATCTTAGCTGTTCATCCATTATGTTTGAGTCTTTTATGTCAGACCTGATTCAACCTGACTATACCTAAGCAGTGTAGTTGACTAGAATCGTAACATTGTTAGCTATTCATCCATTGTGTTTAGATCTTTCGTGTCAGATCTGATTCAATCTGAATATGCGCCGGCAGTGTAGTTGCACAGGATGGTCGTGATGTTAGCTATTCATCGGCTGTGTTTAACTCTTCTATGTTAGACCTGATCCAAGTTGAATATGGTCAAACCGTGTAGTTGAACACAATCGTTTACTTGCTACCTAGTCGTCCGTTGTGTTAAGGTGTTGTCTATTACATCTGATTCAAGTTGAATACACATAACCAGTGTATTTGAATAGAATAGTAACAATTTTAACAATTCATCTGCTGTATACAGGTGTTTTATGTAAAAGCTGATCCAAGGTGAATGTGCGCCAGCAGTATAGTTGAATAGAATCGTCTTGGTCTTACTTATTCACCCATCATGCCCAGGTCTTTCGTGGTAGATCTGATTCAAGGTGAATCTATGCAAGCAGTGTAGTTGAATAGAATCGTGTCGGTCGTAGCTGTTCATTCGTTATGTTTCGGTCTTTTCTGTTAGATCTGACTCAACTTGGATCTACCTAAGCAGTGTAGTTAAACAGAACCGTCCTATTGTCAACTATTCATCCATTGTGTTTAGGGCTTTTATATTACATATGATTCAAGTTAAATATTCATCAGCACTGTAGTTAAACAGAATGGTTTTGATGGTAGCTATTCATCCACTGTGTTTTACTCTTTTATGTTAAATCGAATCCAAGTTGCATACACTCAAACCGTGTTGTTGAACAGAATCGTGCTATTCTTACCTATTCATCCGTTATGTTTAAGATCTTTATGTTAGGCGGATCTAAGTTGAATACTCGTAACTAGTGTATTTGAACATAATAGTAACCGTCATAACAATTCATCCGCTGTATTTAGGCTTTTCATATAAAACCTGATGCAAGTTGAATGTGCGCAAGCAGCGTAGATGAATAGAATCATCTTGATCTTAACTATTCATCCGTTCTGTTTAGCACTCTTGTTTCAGATCTGATACAAGCTGAATATGGGAAAGCAGCGTAATTGAACAGAATCGTTTGACTCTTAGCTGTTCATCCGTTATGTTTACAGCTTTTGTGCTAGACTTGATTCAATCCTGAATATACGTAAGCAGTGTAGTTCGACCGAATCATCAAGATGCTAGCTATTCATGCGTTGTGTGTAAGTCTTTTGCGTTAGATCTGATACAAGCTAAATATGCGCTAGCAGTGTAGTTGCACACAATCGTGTTGCTCCTAGCTATTCATCCGTTATGTGATGGTCTTCTG